AAAAAGTAGACAAAAATGCCATGTAGTAAATTTTAATCTTGAAACAAATCTTTGATCAGAATTTTCTAGAAGGCAAAAATATTATCTGCAGACAAGCCCAAACTTGGGGATATAAGATTAAGACAAAGACAAAAATTGCTAAGGAGGCTGACATTTCCAAATTATCTATGGATCAACTTACACGTAGGTGAGAGGAGGGTTGGCATACAAGAGCACGTATGGAGTTACTTAGGGCTGTCCTTAAAGACAGGCCCAGCCGAATCTCTAACACACACACGGCCTGGAACAGCTGGTACAGGGCTGGAGTCAGTCCTTGTAATACTTTCTTCTCCTGCAGGGGATTCTGCTGCAAAATTCCCCACAGGAATACTCTGGGAAGGCAGAAAACAAATGAGCTTACCAGAACATTTAAATTGTGATTTTTTTTTTTTTTTTTTTTTTTTTTTTTGCAACCCACCCACCCCTTGGGTCCAAATGACGTCACCATCACATCATGATAAAGTTTGGCTTGGGTGACATGAACATGCCATCATAGGAAAATTTGGCTGTGGGCTGGGTGATGTGAACTTGTCGTTCAGCTGAAGGCTGGAGTGACAGAAAGACTTGCCACAAGCGCACAGACCTCTAGGAGGGTGATTAGACTCATTTGTAATTTAGAAAGGGGCTTTTGCATTATTTCCATCAATAAATGAGTGTGGCAAAGAAAACAGTCAATTACCATCTAAATAATGCAAATCAAATGACAAATATGGTCAGTGGAAAATGCCAAAAAAGCTAAAAACACTTATGCATTGAAAGAGTAAATAACATTGCAAATGGGAGGCATAGTCTCCTCATAGCACATGAGTGTTGGAGTGCGCCCGGCCTATAAGCTGTGCACCCGGACAGAGTGGTCACTCATGTAAGCCTAATGCTTGTATTTTGGGCCATGTGATTGTCGTGAGGCACCTGGATCCAAGGAGTGACGTTGAAATTGAAAGTTACTTGTCATCTCATTACAAAACAAAAATTGCAACGTCCTACACTGCATAAACCTAGAATTCCTAAACCAAACTTAAAACTTCATTCAGTTTCTATGATTACTAACTCTTGCAATATTAGCATTGTAATAATCAATAACACTACAAACAATGTGCTTATCACATAACATGTTTGTGATCACAACAAACATCAAATAATCAAACTTCACACCAACCTGATAATTTGGGATGCTGGTGCTGACACAGCCAACCTCTTCAACTTGTTTATGAGTTTTCTCCATTCTTTGCTATTAATGTTACAGCTCGCCAACTCTTCAACAGTACTGCGCAACTCATTTTCTGAAAGAAGTGAAGGCGACCTGTCATCTCTGGAGCCCATTCTGCTGCGGCTTTAAGAACTAGGCATAAAATCAATAAAATAAAATTCCAAAAGGACAATATATGGTAAAAGACTACAAAAGACCTTTTATTTATTATTTTGAGAGGGGGATATTTAATTTTTGAGAGAGGTCTACCCTTTCTTTGTCTTGTGTGCATAGTACAGCAGATATCTTTTTTTTGTATTTCTATTTGTCTCTTACAGAGCCTTAATTCATACTTTTTCCCATCCACTGCATGCACAAGTAGCTTTTACCTTTCCCAGTTTTTATGGATTAATGATCAATTAATGGTTTATTTCTGTGATTTTTAACATGAGGAGTAATATCCTCAGTGAAGTGTTAAATGATGTAATGTGAAAAGGGGTGCTGAAAAAAGTCCAAGTACCATGATGTTGACATAGCTTCAAGTAGGTTGTCAAACATCGCATTGGTGACAGTACAAATATGCATACCACTGGTTTACTGATATGTCCTCTTTCTCTCTCTCCCCTGCCCTATTTATTATCTGCCCATTCATCAGTTTCTCTTTATGTGGACATAAAATGAAGATGAAAGGGTAAAGACAAATAGGTTGAGCCTGATTTGAATAACGATTTGTAGGCAAAATAAGACAAATTGGCTTTGAAAATTACACACAAAACTACATCATCTAGATCAATGGTCCCCAAACTTTAACTAATCACCCTTTGACATGTACTGAATATAATACAATATCAAAATTCAAAATACTGTTAAATCTTGCATTCTCTAAAAAGATACAAAAATACAATTAAATAGATCTGAGCAAAAGAAATAATAATATGAGGAATGAGATGTGATATCCCCTGAAAATCCCTTTGCTTATCTGAGTTTAGGAAACTGAAGTAGATCCTTAACCCACTGCTGCCACAAACATGTAATGTCCACTGAAGTTTGTTTTGCGAAATGTGCTCAGCCACCAAGAATTCAATTAGTTGGCCTATGTGCTCTCACCCGACTCCCCCTTTCCTTGATTTTTTTGAAGAAATGTTTCCTAATACTATTGATATCAATACTGTTGTTATCATTATTGATATTGTGATTATCATAATGTTACTAACAATACTAATGGCAATATAAATTGACAAAGAGAATATTTCTGATAATCAAACAGTTTTTGGCGACTAAGAACTTGCCTTTAATCAACTAATATCACATGCCATCCCTAGAGACAATGGGTTAAAAGATAATAACATAAAATAAAAGGACTAACCTTTCTTTTCACCAAGAGAATTTTTTGTAGGAGGGAACAGCTTGAAATACGATTTATGCTGAGGTTCTGATGTGTTTTTTGTCACGTCACACTTTGGATCTTCCTCTTTCTTCCCGTTCTCCTGACAGACTTGAGAATGAGCTTCTTTGTGTTTCACTCCATCTGTTAGTTGGGTTGACAAGGCACTGTTTTCTTTAGTGAGTATTACAGGTTCCTTTGAGTCTGAAACATTATTTATACTGGCTTTCCCAAAAGTCATTAATTCTTCTTTGGTCTGTGTATCACATATCATCAGCTTCTTTGCTTTCTGCTGCTGGGTACTGGTACAAGGGTCCTGTATAATAGGAACTTGGACTGTACTTTGATTTTCAGAGGTAGGCATGCACTCGACGTACGATTCTTCTCTACCTGGTGTGCCAACAACAGCAGAATCCTTTGGTTGACACTGAAGGATACTGTCATTACTTTGAGATCTCGGAGTAAAAAATAATTTCTCAATAAAGTCTGAAGATGCAGGTACACTAGTAGTAGGAACTGTTTTAGCCTTTGGAAGAGTTTTTGGTCTGTCCAGAGTACCAAGTTTGGCAAGTGAGCTGACTAGGCCTGGGTGAGGTGTGACAGTAGCTTTCATGGTTGAATCACTCACAGACGGCTGAGTAAGTGATTGGTTCTCCTTGGATTTTGTTTTTTCCACAAGAGAGTCATTTTTCTCATTGGCATCTGAGTCATCATCCGAACTGCTGGTGCAAAACACTTTTGACTTGTAAGCAACTGTTTGCTCTCTCTTTACCATCTCAGACTGTGTCTTACTTTGCATATCTTCTTCAGAGCTTACTTTTGGCAGCATATGATCTTTTTTGGATCGCTTAACACCTAATTGAGGAGTTGTATCAAGCAGAATTGCTGTGCGCTTCTTTTCTTGGATTTCTGAGTGGTGTCTCTTGAGAGAGGAAGCTATCCGAGCTGCCTGTTCAAAAGTTGTAGGACAATTTTTCTTTTTCACTGATAAATTTTTTTGTCTCGTTCCTGTGTCCAGTGAATTTGTTTCAGCTATTTCAGCATCCTGACTTTGAGATGAAATATTCTGTAGACACTCTGATGCTTCTAATTTTGCTTTTTTAGAATTCTGATTTGACTGCATCACCTTTTTGAAGTTCTCATTAACTGAACTTTCCTTTACCTGTCCCAAAGCATTTACATGTGGCTCATTTTTGTAAGACTTTTCTACTTGTATGGCTCTCTTTTTCTTTCTTTGTTCTCCTTCTTTACATACTTTATCTGTATTATCACCATCACTGGACACACCTGTGAAAATTCTGTGTTCTCTTTTAAAGTGTCCCTCATCATCCTTCAATGCTTCTGAATCAGATGAGGTGTCATTCTTTACAATCTGCAGCTCCTCTTTATTTGTTGCCAAGCTTTGATTGCTTAAAGTAGCTTTTCCACTGTCTTTACAACTAACTGAAAGTTGCTTTGGTGAGGTGACATCACTTTCACTTACAGATGTTCTTATATTTCCATAGCTTGAACTGGATGAATCTCTCTTCAGTCTCTTTACAACACAAGGTGAGGTTCTGCTACCAACACTGGATTCAGTGTTGTCACTCTTTGTACTTTTTCTGCCTTGGTCTCTCTCTGATTTTCTTCCAAATCTGCCGACTTTTCTACTACTCTTCTGACTAACTTCATTAGTGATTTCTGCCTCCTCACTATCACTATCTAATTTACTTGTTTGGTTTCTTTTCTTCCTCATGATTCGCCTCTTTCTCACACATGGTGCAGATGCTTCCTCCGCGCCACTGCTCTCACTTGAAAAGAGGCTTTGCGAGGCTTTCATTCTCTTTAAAACTGATTTTTTAGGCTTTTCTGTTCTCTGACTCTTTTCCTTTGTGGACACAATAGTGCTATTACCAAGACTACTTAATGCTTCTTTACTTCCCCGTTTAGCTGTTCTTTTATGTGGCAATTTGCTCCTCTCATCCAACAAATTCTTCCCTTGTTTATCACCATTTACATCAATATTTTCTCTACTATGCTGAACTTTATTTCTAATATCAACGTCACTTCTATCACCTGTACCAAGACAAGCACTCTGCATTTCGCGCATGGAAGGTCTGACCTGACGTCTCCTTGAATTTCGTATTTCCAGAGAGAATACATTAGATTTCAGCAGATCACTTGCATTTGGAATCTCACGAGTAATCTTCTTTTGCAATATGAATTCAACGTTATTACTAGGTGAAGGCATTTTTTGACATTGCAGCATGCTTTTCCCCCAACTGAAACGTACACCAGCCATTTGTGGGTTATGTGGTAATGGCTTTTGTTTTGTATCCCCAGCATCTACCATTTTCTTGGGTGTGTCCAAATTTCTTCCTTCTTTAATGTGATCAACAGGTTTCTTAGTGACAACAATCTCATCTTTCGTCTTTGCAGTGCTTTCCTCATTAAGTTCTTTATCTGCAGCTTTTAGTTTCTGTTTCATAGTTTCCTCAACTTCTAATTGTTTCTCTATATTCATAGTTTCATCATCTAATAGCTGGGTCATATTTTTGTATTAATTGCTGCATTTGCATCATTTGTGACAGCAACATCCTCTACTAGTGAGTTGATAGGAGAGACAACATTGGTAGTGGTATCAGTATTTTCACTACATATAGATGCATCACTAGTAGCTATAGTCTTGGTATTTTCATTGTCATTCTCTGAGCTATCACTAATTTTGATATCTTTATTTACAGGAGAGTTTTCTAACTCAGAAGAGATCTTTATTTTTTCTGATTCCTTTCTTTGACTGATAATTTGTGGTGTTGCCTCCTTCTCCCTCTCTAGTTTTGTACAGAGCTTATCTTTCTCTAGTGTCATTTCAGTATTGTCAGAATCATTAGCTGATGAATGAAGAAAGTTACCTTTAGCAAGTTGGACATTCTGATGATCCATTTTGGCCCCTGAGGGATGTGTATTGCATTTTGTGTCTTCTAAGTTGAAAGAATCTGTAACTGTGATGTCATTTTTGGTCTTTCTCAAACTTTTCTTCCTTGTAACAGTACTCTTTTGTTTATTTGTGGGCTCTCCTGTAGCTGCTGACTGCCTGACATTTTTACTCAAACAGACTTTAGAGCTAGTAGAGCACGTTATTTCTAGATCAGTGTCTTTCCTGTCAGTAACTGGGCAGTGTGCACTGGATTTCTCTTCCCTGGGTTCAGATGACAACTCACTTTCATCTTCACTTGATTTTTGTAAGCAGTCATTCTGATTTGTTATCTCTGAAGTGCACTTTACAAATTGGCCCTCAGAATCACTGTAACTACTACTACTACTGCTGTTTCTTGATGTTTTCCTTTCATCTGCAGATTCTCCAGAGTTCAATTCACTTTTGACACCATCATCATTTTTAGGATTGTTTGAAGAGTTTTCTTGTATTAAATCTGTCTTTAAGCTCTTTAAATCTGTCATATTATTGATGCCTTCAGACATATTACTGACCTTTTCTGCTGAACAGTCTTCCAAGAGTGTGCTGACAGAACTTGTACTTTGACCAGCTGACATGCTATTGGAGAATAACTGCCTGTTTCCAACCATATCTCCACATGTTAAGTCACTACAATTATCACTTCCAGAGCCATCATTTTGTACCAGCTGATCCTTATTAACAAGCAGTATGTCATGCTTACTGCTGGAACCCGAGTCATGGTTATTTATTTTCTCCTGTAACTCTATGTCATGAGCCACACCAGCTGTCAGTTTTTGACTCCTTTCCTCCTCCTTGTCTCCTCCATTATCAATCTGACTTTGTGTCTCTTCGCAGTTTCTTTTTTCTTCAGTTTTAGAATTTGTTTCTGTAGTTTTGTTCACTTCTATTGCAATAATGCTGGTGCTGCTCTTCCTAGGTAAAATCTTTGGATGAACATGCTTCTTGTGCATTAAATCCTTGTCATCTTCAGATTCTGAAGATAATAACCAGCTATGATCTGAAGAACTGCTTTCTGAACTCGTCCTAAGTTTTGCATTTTTACTCTCTTCCATATCTTTTACATCTTCAGAATGTATGGAATTTGAAAATAATCCTTCCTCATGCAAGGATACTTTTGTGCTTTCCAGGCTTACATTTTGATCCAATATTTGTTGAGGATGGTTAGGCAATGACCCATTACTATTGTTTTCTCCTTCTGATACACAGCATCCTACAGAAACACTACTTTTTCCTTGCGAGTTCTGTTGAGACTTCTGGTCATTACTTAAACTGTGTTCCATTATTTTTTCACTAGGCTCCATAGGTTCTTGGATTAATACATCTTCTTGCAGTTTTTTATCTAATGAGTTTGCTTCTATAGAATTACTACTTGCATCTCTTGAACAAGGTCTCCTAATCAATGTTTCCTGTATTGATGATTTTCTCAGTCCACAGTCTGCTGTTGCTGTGCTGCTATGGGTATGCATACCATCTTCTTCAAGTTTTGAATTTCTGTCTTCTTCCACCAACTCTTCCCCTTCTTTGTGCGACTCCTGACAGTCATCAGCAAAAGTGCTACATTTCTTGGCAACAACTTCTTCTCCATTTTCAGCCTTGCTTATAGTATCAGTATTAGTATTACCAGAGTCTATTTGGCCATTTTGCTCTGAATATTTTGACATGCATTGTTCATCATCTTCAGATAAGTTCAAGTCCCATGTATCTGTCTGTGAAGGCTTTTCTGTTTTGGAACCTACTTTTTCAAGGCAATTCTCAGTCCCTATGTTTTCTTTGTCATCTTTACCTTCTGAATTTGCACTAAACTCATCCAAGTCAAAGGAGAATCCCTGGGATGAAAGGAAATTACGACCCATTAAACTCTCCACTGGTTTTACATCAACCTCATCATCGGGAGAATTCTCAGTAAAAACTTCCTGGCTCATAAGAGAGCTCTTG